GGCTTTGGGCAGGGACTTAGCATAAGGACCTGGCAGCTGCTTCCCACTCAGGGCCAGTACATAAAAGACCTTCAACATTTTTTTTTTTTTTTTTTTTTTGGTGATAGAATCTTACTCTGTTGCCCAGGCTGGAGTGCAGAGGCACGATCTTGGCTCACTGCAACTTCTGCCTCCCGGGTTCAAGCGATTCTCCTGCCTCAGCCTCCTGAGTAGCTGGGATGATAAGCACGTGCCACCATGCCCGGCTGATTTTTGTATTTTAGACCAACAGGTTTCACCATGTTGGTCAGGCTGGTTTCGAACTCCTGACCTCATGATCCACCCACCTCGGCCTCCCAAACTGATGGGATTATAGGCGTGAGCCCTAGTGCCTGGCCAACAAATATTCATTAACGTGACCTTTTTGAAGAAAATGTCTGTGGATGCCTCCATGAGGTGCCTATGCTAGGACTCTGAGCTCCCTGTTTTGAGGCCCTGGCTTCAGTTGTAGGAGAATGAGAGTGGTAACTGCTGTGCCTGAACCCTCCCCCAAGAAGGTGGGTCACATTATCCTCACTCTTGGGAGCAGCAGAGTGGAGCTGAGTCAGCCCTGGGAACAGCAGAGGTTGGGGCCTAGGGTAGAAGGACCCAGGTTTTGAGTCAGGAGATAAAGGAGATCCAAATTCTTCAGGGAACAGGCAGGCTGAGGCCTCTGAGGTGTCAAAACTGGGCAGGCCAGAGCCATGGGCAGCTCAGAAGAGAGGTGGCAGGCGGGGCTTCTTATTCTCATTTTGCTTCTAATAGTTAGCTGTGTGGCCTTGGGCAAATCACTTTTCCTTTCTGAATCTGCATGATGAGAAAATGAGAAGATTCATCTGGGTGAGCTGTCGCCTGTAAAGTTGTGTGGCTCCATCTGGGTCATTCACTGAGCATACATTCTATGAGCACCTACCATGCTTCAAGCATGGCACAAAGTACCTGTGTGGCTAAGTAAACTGACCTAATTCCCGCCCTCACAGGGCTTATGATGTAGTCCGGACAAACAATAAACAGGTAATTAGTAAATATGTAGAAAATTACAAATTGCTGTTAGGAATGGAATAGAAAGCAGATGGGGTGGGGAAGTTCTTAAATGGAGTGGCTAAGGGAAGGCTGCTCCAAGGAGGTGACGTTTAAGCTGAGACTTGAATGATGAAAATAATAAACTGTGGGGCTGGGCACAGTGGTTCACACCTGTAATCCCAGCACTTTGGGAAGCCAAGGCAGGAGGATTGCTTGAGGCCAGGAGTTCGAGACTATCCTGGGCAACATGGTGAAACCTGCTCTCTACCAAAAGCAAAAATAAAAACAAAACAGCCAGCTCACACCTATAGTCCCAGCCACTTGGGAGGCTGAGGAAGGAGATCACTTGAGCCCAGAAGGTTGAGGTTGTAGTGAACTGCAATCATGCCACTGCACTCCAGCCTGGGGACAGAGTGAGACCTGCCTCAAAAAGAAAAAAAAAGAAACCTGGCAGAAGTGTTCTAGACAGAGAATCAGCAAGTTCAAGGTCTGAGACAGGAGGGCGGAGGCATGTTGAGGAGATTGGAAGGGAGGGCAGGGTGGCTGGAACAGAGTAAGCAAGGTGGCAATGACATGAGGCTGAGCTGGACGGGCCTTAGGAGGCATGAGGAGATTTATTTGATCCCAGGTGCTTTGGGAAGCTATTTGAAGCATCTAGCCAGAGAAACAACTGACTGCAGTTTGAGGTGGCTGAGAGAGCAAGTAGGACAGCAGTGCTCCCGAGTGGATTCCTGAGTTCAAGGTTGGGCTCTGCCACTTTATGTTTCATTCCCTTGGGCAAGCTACTTAACCTCTGTGTGTCTCAGTTTCCTCATTGTGACTCTGAAGACAGGCCATCTGGTTCAAAGCCTACGTTTATTGCTTTCATGCTGTGTGATGTTGGACAATTTTCTTAACCTCAGCATCCTAACCTGTAACGTGAGAATAAGAATAGGAGTCAGCTCACCGGGTTGTGGTGAGGGTTAAATGGGTCATGGACACAAAAGCTACAAGAGGGCCTGGAATTTAGTGAGCATTCAATAAATGTTAGCTGGTGCTATTATTACGATTTCATCATCATCACTATTGTAATTATAAGATACATGACTGTGGATAGGTACATTTCCTCTCCTGAACCTCATTTTCCACATCTCAAGATGAAAATCCCCACATCCTAGGATGGCTCTAAGGGGTAAATTCCTATATATATTTCCTCCCCAGAGTAGGAGCTGGCTAAAGAGCAGCGTTCTGGTTTCTGTGCAAGGCCTGGAATTGGCTAGGAGGCTCTTCGTGGCCACTGTACTCAACATGAGAGACACACAAGGTGCTTCCCTCCCCATAGCACCCTCACATGTGCCATCTTTCATAGACCCCCAGCAACTTCATAGGAAAGGTGGCATAGCACCAGCCCAGTCTAGCCAAAGAGAGACAAGGCCAGGGCTCACAACACCCAAGAGTTTGTACGTGGTCATATTTCAAGGTCTAGAACCCAAATGGTGGAAGTGGGGAGGGTGTTCCAGATCCAGCTTCACATCTTTCAAATTCAGAATCCTTCAGAGACCTGTGTGGCAGATATTCTCACCTCCATTTCACAGGCAAGCAATGGCCCAGGAGGTACTGCGTGCCCCAAATCACATGAGTACTATTTTGAAATATGGAATCAATCTAAGTGTCCATTAACAGATGAATGTTTAAGGAAAATGTGGGGCATATACACAATGGAATATCATTCAGCCATAAAAAGGAATGAGATCCTGTCATTTGCAGCAGCGTGGATGGCACTGGAGGCTGTTATAAGTGGAATAAGCCAAGCACAGAAAGACAAATATTGCATGTTCTCATTCATACATGGGAGCTACAAACTGGATCTCATGGAGATAGAGAGTATATTGGTGGTTAGCAGAGGCTGGAATGTGGAGGAAGAGAGGGAATAAGAAGAAAGAAGAACATGCATATATTTATTTCCAGTGAACTATATGCTTAAAAGTGGTAAAGATTACCAGGACCAGCTCAGCCGTAGAGACCCCCACCCAGGCGGCGCTGAAGGCATTAAGAAGCAGACACCCAGATAGAACAGCAAAGTGGGACCATCCGGGGAGGTGGGGGGCAACAGGCTTCTGAGCTGAGAGCCTCAGGGGGCTGACAGTATTCCAGGCTGAAGGCCTCAAGCAGATTCTGACCCACATAGTTATACTCTCTGAACAGGTGATTATTATTAACAAACAGGTGTTCTGTGTTTTCTCATAGAACCAAGATAAACTAGTCAGGCAGCTGTCGCCTGCTTACCACTGATGAAAGACAAACTAGAAAGCATTCTCCATGAGGGAGCCATGGGGGCAGGGTCACATATCCCATGCTTAAAGAATTGTTTTAACCAGTGTATGTTATACATATACTGTCTTGCCACTTTAGAATGCCCCAAGTAGTTTTCCACTTGGGGGCAGGATCAGCTAGGTTTCCTCATCATCGTTCTTCTTAGCAACCAATATATTTTTATCATACACTCAGCATTTCTCAACAAAAGATGGTAATTAGATATGTATATTGCACCTCAACCACAGCAACTGGGATCCAGGATTACTTACTCCCAACTCCATGTGTCCTCCACAGAGCAGGCTTCTCGGTTTGTGGCCCTTTTTCTTCTTAAGCCAAACACAGCTGGCATTAGTGGCTCTGGGGCCACTAACATTTTCTGCCCCTGCCCCTCCTTGCCTGAGCCTTGAGAGGCTGAAGAGTGAGCACTGGATTGGGAGTTCAGCAACAAGGATTCTAGTCCTGGCTCTGCCTGTCCCAGGGTGTCTCCTTAAAAAGGGGATTACACTCTTCATCAAGGAAGCGAGTATGCCTGTGGACTTCCATCTCCCTTCCACATAGAACAAAGTAGGAATTCAAGCTGAGGAGCAGGAGGGCAGCTCGAGCTGGAGAGAGGAGGGCCTATGGCCACTGAAGTCAGTGAGGGATGGAGGAGAAACAAGCCTGCAGAAAAAGGTGCGGTGGGTGGCTGCAAATATAAGGTCTAGAAGAGGACTAGCTGTTTGATTTTTTTTTTTTTTTTTGAAATACTGTTTTACTCTGTCACCCGAGGCTAGAGTGTAGTGGCGCAATCTCAGCTCACCACAACCTCTACATCCTGGGTTCAAGCGATTTCCCTGCCTCAGCCTCCTGAGTAGCTGGGATTACAGGTGCCCACCACCACGCCCGGTTAATTTTTGTATTATTAGTAGAGGCGGGGTTTCACCATGTTGGACAGGCTGGTCTCAAACTCCTGACCTCAGGTGATCTGCCTGCTTCGGCCTCCCAAAGTGCTGGGATCACAGGTGTGAGCCACCGCACCCAGACTGTTTTACTTTTTTTGAGACAGTCTCTTGCTCTGTCGCCCAGGCTGGAATATAGTGTCAGGATCTCAGCTCACTGCAACCTCTGCCTCCTCAGCTCAAGAAATCCTCCCACTTCAGCCTGGGCCTACAGGCATGCACCATCACATCTGGCTAACTTTTGTAATTTTTGTAGAGATGTGGTTTCACCATGTTGCCCAGGCTAGTCTCAAACTCCTGGGCTCAAGTGATCTACCTACCTGGGCCTCCCAAATTGCTGGGATTACACGTGTGAGCCACTGCACCTGGCGCCTAGCTGTTTGATTTTTGTAGTAACTCCTAAGGAAGAGAAAACAGGTTTATTTGACAAAAAGAAGAGCTGTAATTGGACGTTGGGGAAAACTTGAGAGCAATAGTGGCATCAGTAGATTGCTGGAGTAGGTGGGACAGTGGGTGATGTGATTTAGGTGCTCTTCTAATCCCAGCGTCAGAGGAATTCCATGTCATGTAGCAAAAAGGGCCCGGGATTTCTCCTGCCTGTCATTTGCTCAGTGATCCCAGATAAATTCACCTCCTGTTTAATTTTTTTTTCTTTTTCCCATCTAGAAAACCTGTGGGCAGACCTGGCCAGTCTCTGAGGTCTAACTTTCTGCAACTTTTCCCTAGGGCCTTCACCAGATCTTCCTTCCAGAGGGTGAACACGACACACGACCCTTCATCCTGTTGAGCCTGGGAAATGAGATGATACGGATAAGGAAGGAAAACTTTTATAAACTGATTGACAATGATGACGAGATGATAAACAAGTTGTTAAAGCTCAATATTGCATACCCCAGGTCAGTACTGGAAATGTGCGTAAGTCCCATCAGGTGAAATGAACAATTTTTCACCTGTTATTTTAGTAAAAGAAAAAAATATAATACCTAATGCTGACAAGGGTGAAATGAAACTGGGAGTTGTTGGTACAGACTATATAGGATATTGTTATCCTTTTGATAACAATTTTAGCATTACATTTCAAGGGCTATAAAACTGTCCTGACACTTTGAGACAGAGATTTATCTGTGAATTTACAGAGTCAAAATACTGAGAAAGCCCCTGCATTAAGATGTTCAATGCAGGACCGGGCATGGTGGCTCATGCCTATAATCCTAGCACTTTGGGAAGCTGAGGCAGGCAGATCACTGGAGGTCAGGAGTTTGAGACCAGCCTGGTCAACCTAGTGAAACACCGTCTCTACTAAAAATACAAAATTAGCCAGATATTGTGGCACATGTCTGTAATCCCAGCTACTCAGGAGGCTGAGGTAGGAGAATTGCTTAAACCTGGGAGGCAGAGGTGGCAGTGAGTGGGCATGATGCCACTGCACTCCAGCCTGGATGACAGAGTGAAACTCTGTCTTAAGAAACAATAAGGCTGAGCGCGGTGGCTCACACCTGTAATCGCAGCACTTTGGGAGGCTGAGGCGGGCAGATCACCTGAGGTTGGGAGTTTGAGACCAGCCTGACCAACATGGAGAAACTCCGTCTCTACCAAAAATACAAAATTAGCTGGGCGTGGTGACGTATGCCTGTAATCCCAGCTACTTGGGAGGCTGAGGCAGGAGAATCACTTGAACTCAGGAGGTGGAGATTGTGGTGAGCTGAGATCACACCATTGCACTCCAGTCTGGGCAACAAGAGTGAAACTCCATCTCAAACCCCCCCCCCAAAAAAACAAACAAAAAACAGTAAGTCCGAGCATGGTGGCTCATGCCTGTAATCCCAGCACTTTGGGAGACTGAGGTGGGTGGATCACCTGAGGTCAGGCGTTTGAGACCAGTGTGGCCAACAGAGTGAAAGCCTGTCTCTACCAAGAGTACAAAAATGAGCTGAGTGTGGTGGCAGGTGCCTGTAATCTCAGCTACTTGGGTGGCTGAGGCAGGAGAATCACTTGAACCCAGGAGGCGGAGGTTGCAATGAGCTGATATTGCACAATTGCAGTCCAGCCTGGGCAGCAAGAGTGAAACTCTGTCTCTAATATAATAATAAATAATAATAAGGCTGGGTGTGGTGGCTCACACCTGTAATCCCAGTACTTCAGGAGGCCAAGGCAGGTGGATCACCCGAGGTCGGGAGTTTGAGACCAGCCTGGCCAACTTGGTGAAACCCCACCTCTACTAAAAATACAAAAATTAGCTGGGTGTAGTAGCAGGTGCCTGTAATCCCAGCAACTCAGGAGGTTCAGGCAGGAGGATCACTTGAACTTGGGAGGCAGAGGGTGAAGTGAGCTGAGATTGTGCCATTGCACTCCAGCCTGGGCAACAAGAGCAAAACTCCATCTCAAAATAAATAAATAAATAAAATAAGATGTTCATAGCAGCCATATTCATAATAGAAAAACAATGATAACATTCATGTGTGCCACACTAAGGGGATAGTTTACAAAATTGTGGTGTATTCTTTTGATAGAACATATTTGTTTCATTTAAAAAATGGTAAGCTTAATGGCTCTATAATAGCAGGATAAAATGGGTGATATAATGATACTAGAAAAGGGCAGTAGAGAATTGTACATGTGCTATGCCCCTGCCTTTGTAAAACACTTACCTGAGAGAAACCTAGAAGGAAATATGCAAAAATAAGAATGCCTCTGGTAATAATTGTTTTCTCTGGAAGGTGGGACTAGGGGTACTTTCTGGTTATATATTCCTTTCATGTTTGTTCTTGCAATGCAAATCCATTGCTTTTATTTTATTTTATTTTTATTTACTTATTTTTTTGAGACAGGTTCTCACTCTATTCCCCAGGCTGGAGTGCAGTGGCATAATCATGGCTCACTGTAGCCTTGACCTCCTGGGCTCAAGTGATCCTCCCACCTCAGTTTCCTGAGTAGCTGGAACTATAGACATGCACTACAATGCTTAGCTAATTTAAAAAATTTCTGTAGAGATAGAGGTCTCATTATGTTTCCCAGGCTGGTCTTGAACTCCTTAACTTAAACAATCCTCCTGCCTTGGTCTTCCAAAGTGCTGAGATTTACTTTTGTAATTGTTAAAAATAAATATGTATCTTGAAAGAGTAGATAAATTTTATTTTACTTTTTCATAGTGTCCAAATTTTCTAGAGTGAATGTTAATGGTTTTATAATAGAACAAATAACTTTTTAAAATGTAAAAATTGGCCAGGCGTGGTGGCTCACACCTGTAATCCCAGCACTTTGGGAGGCCGAGGCGGGTGGATCACGAGGTGAAGAGATTGAGACCATCCTGGCCAATACGGTGAAACCCTGTCTCTACTAAAAAGTACAAAAATTAGCTGGGTGTGGTGGCATGTGCTTGTAGTCCCAGCTACTCAGGAGGCTGAGGCAGGAGAATTGCTTGAACCCAGGAGGCAGAGATTGCAGTGAGCTGAGATTGCACCACTGCACTCCAGCCTGGCGCCTGGCGACAGAGCAGGACTCTGTCTCAAATAAAATAAAATAAAATAAAATATAAAAATTAATTTATTGGCCAGACCAGTGGTCTCCAAACTGTTTCACCTCATACTGCTATTACTTCAGAGTGTTCAAGTATGTACTCCCTGGTATGCATATGTAATATAAATAACATGTTAATTTATTTTTATTATATCTACATATATTACTGTACTTATATATATTATAAACACATAAAAATAGATCTCTTAAAAGAATAAGAGAAAGATAAATATAAGTGAAATCCAGGCCAGGTGTGGTGGCTTATGCCTGTAATCCCAACACTTTGGGAAGCTGAGGTGGGCGGATCATGAGGTCAAATGATCAAGACCGTCCTAGCCAACATGGTGAAACCCCATCTATACTCTACTAAAATACAGAAAATTAGCTGGGTGTGGTGGTGTGCACCTGTAGTCCCAGCTACTCGGGCAGCTTAGACAGGGGAATTGCATGAACCCAGGAGGCAGAGGTTGCAGTGAGCCAAGATTGCCCCATTGCACTCCAGCCTGGCGACAGAGCAAGACTCTGTCTAAAAAAAAAAATATATATATATGTGTGTGTGTGTGTGTGTGTGTGTGTGTGTGTGTATACATTTATATGTATATATTATATATACATACATATATAAATGAAATCCTACTGTTCACATACTTTAGTAGATCTTGTACATCTCCCTGGGTGACACATCTCTCCACCCCAACTTTGTTTTGTGTGTGTGTGTGTGTGTGTGTGTGTGTGCGCGCGTGTGTGTGTGAGACAGGGTCTCACTCTGTCATCCAGGCTGGCATGTTGTGGCTCCATCTCAACTCACTGCAACCTCTGCCTCCCAGGCTTAAGTGATCCTCCCACCTCAGCCTCCCCAGTAGCTGGGACCACAGGCAGGTGCCACCATGCCTGGCTAATTTTTTTGTATTTTTTGGTTGAAATAGTGTTTTGCTATGCTGCCCAGGCTGGTCTCAAACTCCTGAGCTCAAAGGATCCACCCACCTTGGCCTCCCAAAGTGCTGGGATTGCATGAGCCACCGCTCCTGGCCTCCATCCCCCACTTCGGGACCACCAAGCTGAACTCCTGCAAGAGTCTTATCATGGGTTCCTCTCCTTCAGTCTCCTCCCTGCTGGATTCTTTCTGCACACTGTGTTCTTGTTAAAACCCTAATCTAGTTGTGTTAAACTCCTGCTTGAAACCTTTCAGTGGTATCTCACTGCCTATATATAGGAGAAAGTCCAAACTCAGTGCTACCTCAATGACTCACCGCAGTCTGGCCCCTTCTGAGGCCCCCTGCAGCATCTCCTGCTGCCTCCAACCCACTCCAGCAACCCAGGTGGGTTGCCTGCTAGGTGCTGCACATACCTTGCCTTTGCCAGTGCTGGCTCTTTTGCCTGAAATGCTAACCCCAGTCCTGCCCTGACCCTTTGTGATAAATTCCTGCTCATTCTATAAGATTCATTGTCTGCAGCAAACCTCCTCAGACTAACCCCAGTTTGGGATAAGTACTCCTTTTCTGCACACTCATAATATTCTGTACACAGCTCTGTCAATGGCTGTGTCATGTTGTCATATAGTTACCTGTTTGCACAGCTCTTTTCCTCCACCTGATTAAATGCTTCAGGAAGGCAAGGCTGTGCATTATCCACCTTTGGTCTCTAGCACCTGTAACAGTACCCAGCATGCAGCAGGTGCTTAATTAATTTTGGCTAAATGTGAATGATTGGGCCATACTCATTGCAGAAAATTAAAAAACACTGAACAGTAAAAAAAAAGACAAAACCCAAATCATTTGCAGTCCTCCAGCAATCCCAGTTAGCATTTTCTGTATTTCCTTTCAGTGTTTTTCTTCACTTCATGGATATGTACCAAATGTGCATTTATCCTCATGCTCTATTTTCATAACAGAGCTCATACTTCTTACACAATTTTGCATCCTCTCTTTTTTCTTTACTTGCAGGGATATTGTGATCAGACATGGTTTTGCTAGCAGGTGTGGGAAGCGAATGATTGCAATGGTAGAGAAAGGGAGTATGAAGGCAGGCAGAGCTGCAGGTGATTCCAGCCCCTGGCCAATAAGCACACAATAGGATCTCACATGAGCTCATCACGACCTTGGGCAATGTGAGCTCTTCATGACCTCCTCTAGGCTTCTGACTCCAGTCAGCAACACAAGAAAATTAGAGTATATCAGTGTTTTTTAAAGAATAGAACATATTCCACAGGAGGCTTACAGGATGACTTCAGGCAGCTCACAGATTGACATTTTTAGTTTTAACAGGTATTTACTTGTGTGAATTAGAAAAAACAGCATGACTAGCTTACTAACCCTGTGATCTGACAGATCGTGTTGCTTAAGACAAAGTTAAAGTAAATATTTAAGTAAAAGAAACTGAATAGATTGAAGGAAAATTATTAGTAAATTTAAAGAGCAGATACTATAGGACCAACACTGGGGCAGTCTTGTGAGAAAAACAAGCTGAGAAATACTGGTGGTTCCTTCTGGTTCAAGGATGCCACACTTCTCTGATTCCTGGGTACTACCAAAATAGGAAATGGCCATTCAGACCTACCACTCAAAAAAGGGTTTAAGGAGCCTTAGCTCCTTGCATAATGCCTGGCTTGTGATGGGGATTAGTTAATAACTGTTGAATGGAAATTCAGAAAAGGTTTACACAGACTTGAGTGGGGGCAGATGGAACACTCAGCATCTGCCTTGCTCAGTCAGCATTTGCAGCCCTCATCTAGAATGCTGACCCACAGAATTCGGTCTTGTTCATTAATCATTGAACTCATGGCTTTCTAGACCGCTAAAGCAGGCAGAACACATATCCATTATCTAGCTCAAATCCCTCACGTTTTAAACGAGGACTCTTGAAGATCACAGAGCCAGTGGCAGAGGCACCTGTTAGGTGAATAGCGCAGGCTGGATATCCTGAAAATCACCTGTACAGAGCACGGGGGGGCCACGAGAGATAGGACACGTGGCTGCATCCACAAGAAAGTCAGGAAATCTCCCAGGGCCAAAGTGAAGAGGATCACTCAAAACAGGCAGATAATGTGAACTAATGCTGGGGATTGCCCAGGAGAGCTTAAGGGCATCACGGACTGATTTTTTTTTTTTGAGACAGTCTCACTCTGTCACCCAGACTGGAGTGCAGTGTCACAATCTCATATCACTGCAACGTCCACCCACCAGGTCCAAGTGATTCTTGTGCCTCAGCCTCCCAAGTAGCTGGGATTACAGGCGTGCACCACCACACCTGGCTAACTTTTGTATTTTTTGTATTTTTAGTAGAGACAGGTTTCACCATCTTGGACAGGCTGGTCTCGAATTCCTGAAGTGATCCGCCTGCCTGGCCTCCCAAAGTGGTGGGATTACAGGCATGAGCCACTGCGCCTGGCTATGGGCTGATTTTTTAAAGGCTGAAAGAACAGATGTAGTTTTTGGTTCAAGTAAGACAGGGGATTGGAACCGAGACCCCTGTGTGAAGCCGAGGCTACCCTGTTTAATGAAAAAGTAGACTAGAAATCAATGTGACCATCAGCATCAGGAAGTGACATGGAGTCTTGTCTGTCTTAGCTTAGTATCTAGGTTAAAAAAAATATATCTCTTAAGAATTAGTTGCCAGGCGCGGTGGCTCACGCCTGTAATCCCAGCACTTTAGGAGGCCAAGGCGGGTGGATCATGAGGTCAAGAGATAGAGACCATCCTGGTCAACATGGTGAAACCGCGTCTCTACTAAAAATACAACAAAAAAATTAGCCGGGCATGGTGGCGCGTGCCTGTAATCCCAGCTACTCAGGAGGCTGAGGCAGGAGAATTGCCTGAACCCAGGAGGCGGAGGTTGCGGTGAGCCGAGATCACGCCATTGCACTCTAGCCTGGGTAACAAGAGTGAAACTCCGTCTCAAAAAAAAAAAAAAAAGAGTCATCACATGCTTGTCCCTCCTAGGTTTTGATGAATCCCTTAGCCTCACCCCAGTTTCTATGTTTGTGAAATGGGGTTCTTGTGAAAATTAAATGAGTTAACAAATGTAAGGTGCTTGACACATGGTAAGTTCTATGTCAGAGTAAGATGTTGTTATTTATCATGTAAGAAACTGGGAGTTAATGGAACTTTTTAAGTGAGGACTACCCAGTAGTGTGCTCCTGGGTGTTTAACAACCAGCTCTCCAAGGCACGGGAGGAGGACCCTGGCTTGCAGTGTTTGCTGATTTCTGTGGTGTAAATACTCCCACCATGGCCAATATCATACTACCAGCCTGCTGCAAGCATGGTGTTGAGAGAAGGTGCACACGGTCAGCTTTCGTGAGTGGGGCAGAAGCTCGCTTTGTCACGTTGCTGACGCTACAGGACTAGCTTCTGGCCATGCTGACCTCTGGGTTTTTACTTAAGCCAATCTCTATGGATCAAAGTTGACTTTATCTTTGTCCATGTAATCTGGCTGGAAGAATGTTCTGACTTGTTAGTGATGTATTCAGCTTGTCTCCTCAGGTAAGGGAGTACAGGTGAGTTAACACCCCCTTGCTTTGCTGTGGTCTCAGGAGGCTCCAGTCCTTCTTCCACCTTCCTCAGCCTTACTTGCTATGATCGGGGAGGGCAGGGTGGAGCCAGAGCACGATGACTGGTCCAAGGCAGCCACAAATCTACTGCCTGTCTCTATAGACCTGCCTGTTCTGGACATTTCACATACATGGAATTGGGCAATATGTATATACCACACTTTATTTAGCAATATAAAATGATTAATGAGCTATTTTAAATTCTTTTATTGTTCTAAGTCTGTGAAATCTGGTGTGTATTTTACACTCACAGCACGTCTCTAATTCAGACTGGCTGCATTTCAGGTGCTCAGTAGCTGCATATGGCCCATTGCTGCTACATGAGACAGAACAGGCCTAAGGGAAGAAAACTGTGGAAAGGGAAAGGGGCTGAGGGAGAGTCCGGGAGGGGCAGAGAAGCGGGATGAAGCACCATGCGCTTAGGGAGGCGAGAGTGGCAGGAGGCAAGGCTGGAGGGGCGGGACTGGCATGAGAACCTCGGCTTCTGTGCCTGCCCTTTAGTGATGAAGATATGTGCCAGAAGTTCGTCCAGGAGAACAGCTGGAATGTCTTTCGGAAGGATCTGTTGCAGCTGTTAGTAAAGCATCGCCAAAGTTCACCGTTCACCCCAATCCGGCCCAAGAAGAAAGGGATATACGACCCTAGGTCTGTGGTCCTGAATTTGTGCAGCATCAACAAGACGACTAAACCTTGTTATCCCATTTTTAAGGCACCCCAGAAATACCTGCCCCCATTGAGGATTGTCCAAGCCATCAAAGCACCTCGGTACAAAATCCAAGAACTCTTGCCTCAGTATAAGAGTGCAGGGGTCCTTATTTAGGACAAATAAAGGATGGCAGACTGGCCACCATGCTTTCTGAATGACCACCATGTGAGTTGTAGGACTTGGAGGAGGGGGGCCTGGAGGGGCTGAGCTGTGGGTCCAGGGAGGTATTTGGGGGACAGCAATAGGGGCACAGTCTCCCTTGATGCTTGAGGGCTGGGCTGAGTGAATGGATGGTCAGAGTCTGGGCGTGGATGGGTTAATCATTGGGGATGTGCTCAGGGTAGAAGGGTCTTATCTGATGAGCTGGATGTGGGGAAGGCTCACATCAAAGTGGTCAAAACTAGGGTTGCAAATGCCTTCCAAGGCCAGACAGGTCATCTAAAGGAGTGCAGCAGCAGGGCTGGGAAGGCAACAGGGAGTGGTGAAGACGCTGGGCTTGCTCTATAAGTTCTCCATCCAGATGGGGAAGCTACCCTTTAGCCCAGTCAGTTGCTGTCCTGCCAGGAAATAATGCAGGCCTCATATTGTCAATCTGTAGATTCTTCAAGAGAATCAAGAAATTCAATATTTTAGATGATTCCTACTGGTTTTTAAACACGAGAAACTAATTCAGATTGTTTTTAAATAGTGTCAGACAAATCAAACACATATGTGGGCTATGTTGGGCCTACAGGTGGTGGGCTGGATTCCTGTCAGAGAGTGAAGTGAGGCTGTCACTGGTTGGGAGGAGGGTACAGGAGCCAGAGAGACACTGATGGGGCAGCCTGACAGGAGCAGGCCTCAGGTCCAGGATGCGGAGTGAGCAGCTGTGATAGAGGAGGTGGGGACAAGGAGGCCACAGAGTAGGAACTAAAAAGGGCTCCTCATTCTCTCTGCTGGGTCCCTAATCTGGAGGTGCTCATCACTGATCTGTGCCTAGAACTCAGGGCTTCTTTCTCCGGCAGCCTCGGCACCACAGACCAAGTGCCAGACACCTCTTTCCCTTCGGGAACCCCACAGGGTAGCTTGAGAGCACTGAGAAGCCTGGAGGAGGCCATGACGGCAAAGGAGCCTACCCACTTCCAAGTTACCCACCCTGTCCCTGGCAAGGCATAGACTCTGAGAAATGCCAGGGCATCAAGCTGGGCACCAGGAGCTCTGACAGTCCCAGATGTGCTGGTGTCTCACTGGACCCTCTCGAGCACTTCGATTCCTTTATCTGTACCTCAGTTTTCCTAGTGGTGAAATGAGCAAGTTGGACAAGATAATGGCTTTCATGAATGGGGGTGAGTATAGTTTGAAAAGCATATTCAACATTATAGTTTTGTTTGTTGTATTTATTTTATTTTTTGAGATAGGGTCTTGCTCTGTTGCCCAGGCTGGAGTACAGTGGCATGATCATAGCTCACTGCAGCCTTGAACTCTTGGCTCAAGCAATCCTCTGGCCTTAGTCTCCAGAGTAGCTTGGAGTACAGGTGTACACCACCATGTAGGGCTGATTTAAAAATATTTTTGTAGGGACAGGGTCTTACTGTATTGCTCAGGCTGGTCTCAAACTCATGGCCTCAAGTGATCCTCTCACCTTGGCCTCCCAAAGTATTAAGATTACATGTATGAGCCTGATACAATTTGGCTGTGTCCCCACCCAAAATCTTATCTTGAATTTTAATAATCCCCATGTTGGAACCAGGTGGAGATAATTGAATCATGGGGACAATTTTCCCCATACTGTTCTCGTGATAGTGAGTTAGTTCTCACAAGATCCTTTATAAGCAGCTTCCCTGTTTGCCCAGCGCTCATTCTCTCTTGCTGCTATTCTGAAGAAGGATGTGTTTGCTTCCCCTTCTGCCCGGATTCTAAGTTTCCTGAGGCCTCCCCACCCATGCAAAACTGTGAGTCAATTAAACTTCTTTTCTTTATAAACTACCCAGTCTCAGGTGTGTCTTTATTAGCAGAGCCACTACACTGGGACTGTTGGTTGAGTTTAAAAGAAAACTGTTTTCATGTTGCATACCAGAAAAGGAGGAGTATGAAAATTTTCTCTCTGAAGGGGATGTGGATGTAAAGGGTAAAGAAGCAGTGGACTAGTCCAGGTGCGGTGGCTCACACCTGGAATCCCAGCATTTTGGGAGGCCGAGGCAGGCAGATTACCTGAGGTCAGGAGTTTGAGACCAGTCTGGCCAACATGGTGAAACCCTGTCTCTACTAAAAATACAAAATTAGCCATGCGTGGTGGTGGGCACCTGTAATTCCAGGCTTGGGAGGCTGAGGCTGGAGAATCACTTGAACCCAGGAGGCAGAGGTTTCAGTGAGCTTCCAAGATTGCGCCATTGCACTCCAGCCTGGGCCACAAGAGTGAAACTCCAGCTAAAAAAAAAAAGCAGTGGACTTATGGATCTTCACTTCCCTGATTGCTCCAGAGTCAAGAAGTCAGGGATGTCTGCAGCAGTCCTGGAAAGGTCGACTGTGACTCACAAGTACAAGGGGTCGCTGTTTTGGGACCAAGGAAGTTGGGGTATCTGACCATATTTAGGTTTTTTTTTTTTTTTTTTTTGCATGTAGGACTGTGGTTCCAAGATGACAGTGCAGGCTTCTTGTTCATCCATTTGAAATTTATTTATTTATTTTTGGAGAGTCTTGCTTTGTTGCCCAGGCTGGAGTGCAGTGGTACAATCTCAGCTCACTGTAACCTCCGCCTTCCAGGTTTAAGGCAATTCTTGTGTCTCAGCCTCCCAAGGAGCTGGGACTACAGGTGTGTGACACCATGCCCATCTACATGCCTGACTACTTTTTTGAATTTTAAATAGAGATGGGGTTTTGCCATGTTACCCAGGCTGCTCTCAAAATCCTGAGCTCAGGTAATCTACCTACCTCAGTACTTCCAAAATGCTAGGATTATAGGCATGAGCCACCACGCCCAGTCTTGAAATTTATTTATTGAGCACTGCAGAGAGAGTCAAAGGAGATAAGATACATTTTCTGTTACTTTTTATTTTTGAGACAGGGGGTTCCTCTGTCACCCAGGCTGGAGTGCAGTGGTATGATCATAGCTCACTACAGCCTCAAACTCCTGGACTCAAGCGATCATCCTGCCTCTGCCTCTTAAGTAGCTGGGACTACAGGTGTGTACCACCATGCCTAATTTTTTTTTTAGGAGACGGGGTCTCACTATGTTGCCCAGGCTGGAGTACGATGGCTATTCACAGGCACTATTCCACTACTGATGAGCACGAGAGTTTTGACCTCCTCCATTTCCAGCCTGGGCTGGTTCACCCTTCCTTAGGCAACCTGGTGGTCCCTGCTCCAGGGAGGTCTCCATATTGGTGCTGAACTTAGTGTGGACACCTGATGGGCATAGTGCACTATAGCCCAGAACTCCTGAACTCAAGCGATCCTCCCACCTCAGCCTCCTGAGTAGCTGGGACTACAGGCATGCACCACTGTGCTGAGATTCTTTTTGTTTTTTTGGTAGAGACAGTGCCTCACTGTGGTGTTCAGGTTGGTCTCAAATTCCTGGCCTCAAGGGATCCTCCTGCCTCAGCCTCCCAAAATGCCAGGATTACAGGTGTGAACCACTATGCCCAGTCCAAATTCTTTCTGTAAGGGGTCAGATAGTAAAAACTTTAGGTTTTCTAAGACATGTGATCTCTTGTTATAGCTACTCATGAAAGCAGCTGTAGAAAATATGCAAACAAATGGATGTGACTACGTGTCAATAAAACTTTATTTGTGAGAACAGATGGCAGGCCAGATTTGAGCTGCAGGTCACAGTTTGCGGACCCTGCTCTAGGCAATAGGGAGCCCTTGAAGGTTCTTGAGCAGACGTGGCATGGCCAAAGGAGGAGAGAGGGGCTGACATGTGTTGAGCACTTATTATGTGACCATCACCTTGCTGAGTATCTGACTGGAGTTCAGTGACCTGTTGAGTCCTGCAGGCTCTGTCACTTAATGGCTGTTGAGGATTAAAAGAAGTGGTATGTGTGTAACAAGGTGGAAGATTTCGTTCACCAAGATTTCTGAGTCCTGCTTCCTGGGAAGTAAGAAAACCCTTCCAGAATAACAGGCAGAACATGTTTTCTAGGTCAGTAATGGGTGAGAAAATAACCTGAAAGAGCAACTGAGGGTGAGGGTACTGAGAAGGGAGAGACTCTGGGCTGGGTTTCAGGAGGTCTCGAGGGGGGCTAAGGAAGTGCAAAGTTCCTGAAGCCACTATGTGACAAAATAACTTGAGAAGGAGAAATGTCTGAAGAGGACTTCAAGGAGTCCTTTTCTGTACATTGAGAATGTGTCCCTCTTTGGCATTTGTTTGAGAAACCAAGTGAACATTTGAATAGAATTATAGAATGAGGCAGTACTGCTGTCTCTTTGAATCCAGTAATCAAGCAGGGAGTGGGCAGTTATATTCAGGATGTGGTGTAAAGTCCCCGGCACAGTAAGTGCTCAGCACTCAGTAAGTGTTATTTACGTCTTTTGGACCAAGGTCAATTTGATCATCTAGAAACTCTCTTTCCCCTTCAATGGAATAGGAAACTGAGACTTTGGAAGGCTGAGCCCTCATAATCAGTGACAAAGGCTGTCACTGAGCGGATTGGGGTGGGAGGAGCGTGGATGACCTACTACCCAACCTCCACACTCTAGTGAAGGGTCTCATGGGAACCTGAATGGGCAGCCTCTCAGGGGAAAGTGGAGACAGGGCAGCAAACCATACCAAGCACTGTTTGGGGAGGATGCTGTTTGGAAAAAGAATGAGTGGGACAGTGTAGGAAGGTGAGGGTGGGGAGTGGGGCTTGTGTGTGAGCATCACCTAACGTCCAGGCTGTGAGCTGCAGAATGAGCACTAGTTCTCAAGTCTTCCTTCCTCCAACACACACACACACACACACAAATATACATAGAATGCACACATACATACAACAACATGGGATCAGATTCAGGCAAGAGCCTGGGTGTGGTGGCTCACGCCTGTAATCCTAGCACTTTGGGAGTCTGAGGTGGGAATTCAAGACCAGCCTGGGAAACATAGTGAGACCCTGTCTCTACAAAAAATACAAAAATTAGCCAGCCATGGTGATGTATGCCTGTAGTCCAAGCTACTTAAGGGGCCTGAGGTGGGAGGATCACTTGAGGCTGAGAGGTCAAGGCTGCAGTGAGCCATGATCGTGCCACTGTTGCACTCTAGCCTGGGTGACAGAGTGAGACTCTCTTAAAAAAAAGAAAGAAAGAAGAATCAGACAGGGGAAGACATGACATGAGCATTTACCTGGGAGAGAAGTTCATTCAGAAGGAGTAAATATGACATGCCCGGCACAAGTGTTTGCAACAAATTACATTTTCAGTGCTCCAGAGGTCCTCACTGCCACCTAGGCACAGATCCAAGGGTCCTGGAAGCCCGAGGTGATCTGCCATGCCTAAGAAGCCAGGGAGAAGGCCCAGGGCTCAGTTATGGAGTACTCAGTGTGTGCCAGGCATTATGTGAGGCACTGCAGAGACCATCACTTACTCTGAAACTGTTACCTGGCAGCTAACTGGATGGTGGCATGCATTTGACAGATGAGGAGTCTGAGGCCCTGAGAGGCAAAGCTCACTCAGCTACCAGGTGGTGGTTCCAGAAAATCCAGGAAATCCACAGCCCAGGACCCTCCTACTGAATCAGCATTTAAGTATATGGACAGTTACACCACCATTACTCATCTATCCCAAATGAGCCACCTCTTTTCAAAAAAGGAACTCTGTACACACAGCCCTGAAGCTGTGCTGGGGAGAACATAATTGCCCTCTGGAATTATTTCCATATGTAAATAAGCATAGTCATACTCGGAGAGGCACACCCAGGCGCTCCAGCCAAAAATATAGCCCCTAGTGCTAAAAGCTTACACTGTTTGAGGGGAGAATAAAAAAACCCACTTGAAAAGTAAACACAGGACATATTGCCAGCATTTGTTGTAGGTAGTGTTTAACGTTCATCTTGGGGTTGAAAGAAAAGCATTGTTTAAATCTTCTATTTATTGTATATAATTCCTGGGAAAATCTTACCTTCCAGTTAAAGGGTGAAACAGGTCACTTTGCTCATCTATCTGCAAGACTACCTCATAGGGAAATGTTTTCAGGGCAGTACATGTACAGCCATTTTACCATGATGCCTTTCTACTGCTGGGGGATTTATGGGGCTTAACTGTAAGTGTGCTGAGTTGCTGAATTTGTAATCACTGGTTCAGAGCAGACAATAAGGATGAGTAGCAGTTTCTAGGTGGCTGATAAGCAGCATCAAAGCGAAAACAAAGGTTTTTCACACCTGCTGCCAAACTGTGGGCTTTGGGGACAGACACTCGAGGGCTGGGGTAGTGAGAGGTGGCGGAGTTCAGATGTGTGCTGTGTGACTCTTGGCCAACCTCCATCCCTTTCCTGAGCTTCAGGCCTGGCATCTGTGCAATTCGAGGGGTCCAGCAGGTATTCTGAATGCACAGCCCCCACCCCAGACACTAAACAGGGCCCCATCCCTCTCTCTTGTTTTGTCCCCACCTGTCTCGTACTTCCAAAACCACCCACCCCAACAGAAAATCAGGATCAAGAAAATGGATACTGAACCCCATGGTGACATGTGAAAATGAACTGTGGGTGAGACAGTAGTATTTTTTTTTCTGAGATAGGGTCTCTGTCACCTACACTGGAGCGCAGTGGTATGATCACAGTTCACTGCAGCCTTGACCTCCCCAGCTTAAGGGATCCTTCCACTTCAGCTTCCTCAGTAGCTAGGACTACAGGCATGTGGCACAACGCCTGGCTAATTCTTTTTTTTTTTTTATTATTTGTAGAGACAGGGTTTCACCATGTTGCCCAGGCTGGTTTCGAACTCCTGGTCTCAAGAGATCTGCCTGCCTCAGCCTCCCAAAGTGTTGGAATTACAGGGGTGAGCCACCATACTTGTATTTCTTGATGTCTGTAATTGTACTGTTATGTAAGAGAATCTCCTTGTATTTAGGAAATATACACTGTAGTATTTGGCAGTTAAGAGAGATAATTTCTTCAATTTGCTTTCCAAATTATTCAGAAAATTGTAATATGTACATTTAGAGAATGGCAAAGAAAATATAGTCAAATAATAACAATTGGCAAATCTGGGTGAAATATATTTAGGAATTTTTTTTTTTTTAAACTGAGGCAGGGTCTCATTGTGTTACCCAGGCTTGTCTCAAACTCCTAGGCTCAAGTGCTCCTCCCGCCTCAGCCTCTTTTTTTTTTTCCCCCTCAAGACAGAGTCTTGCTCTGTGGCCCAGGCTAGAGTGCAATGGCACAATCTTGGTTCACTGCAGCCTCCGCCTTTCAGGTTCAAGTGATTCTCCTGCTTCAGCCTCCTGAGTAGCTGGGATTACAGGTGCCCACCACCACAACCCATTAATTTTTGTATTTTTAGTAGAGATGGGGTTTCTCCATGTTGGTCATGCTGGTCTCCAACTCCTGACCTCAGGCGATCTGCCCACCTTGGCCTCCCAAAGTGCTGGAATTACAGGCATGAGCACCCGGCCTTTTTTTTTTTTTTTTTTTT